CTTCGAGAATGTTGATGTGGCGCTCGGTAGCAGGTCGAGCACCGTGAAGTACAGTCCTCCTGGTTCTGCTCGAAGCGGCGCGCTGTTCTCCTTGGCGATGCGGTCGCTGCTCATGCGCTCGCGCGCGTCGCTGAGCTTCGAGAGGACATATTGGGTCGCGACATAGCCGGCGCCCACGATGCCGACGCCGACGGCGAGGGGCGTTCGATTGCGGTTGAACCACCGCCGTGTTGCGGCGAGCATGGCGGCCGGATGTCAAGTGGGTTTGTGGGTGTGTGGAGGGCGGAGGGCGGCAGGCGAGCTCGGGCTCACGATGTGCCCGATGTCGCAATGTAGTACTGTTGGGTTCAGAGTGGCTGCGGAGGAGAGGGGGGGGGGGACGGTGGGAGAGAGGAGGAGGGGATATGGGGGACTCGGTCAGGAGGGGATCGTGTCTAGGTATCTAGTTCCAGTCTTGTTCATCACATGCCACTCTATGATGCTCCACGCCGGGATGGGACATGGATGTCGCGAGACGATGATGAAGTGGTTGGTCGTACTAGAGGAATGGGTGAGCCGTGCTTCAGTCGCGGCTCCGGTGCCTTACCTCGGCCCAGCCACATGTGGCTTACCTTGGGTACGTACCGCACTCTCGAGGACGGACCTTACCCTGTCTTGCCTGTGCACTGACGGATCGATGCACTGACCTGACTGATCGAGTGCGCTACTGTATTTCCATTCCTTGGTGAGGAACTGTGATGGACAGCCTGGTGTTCTGTCGTCAGTTGTTTGCAATGGTATACTCAGCGCGTGTACAGATGTGAATCCGTACGAAGTAGCATGCAGAGGAAGCCAACCAGGGAGTGATGCATGCACAACCGTCAAGCGATCGCTATAATGGCATACTACTACTACTACTACTACTACTACTACTGCTGCTGCTACTACTACTACTACGAGGAGGAGTTCCCAACGACGGCAGACGTATTTCCAGGCGCTAGGATCGCCGTACCCGCTCGGGTGGCCATGGGCGCCCAAAGTGACAGACCCATGAGCTTCCAAGGCGCCTCACGTAGGTACCTAGCCAGGTCGGCAGGCAGGTCGGCAGGTAGGCACGCAGGTTGGCAGCAGGTGGCAGGCACCCACAGTGTGCTTCCGTAGGCACGTGACGTCGACGGTCGTGCCGCGAAGCAGGTTCGAAAAAACTGTCCGTCCGCCATCTGGTCCTGCACGGCCCGCACAAACATCAACTTGCTGAGGCAGAGGGAACTGCGCCAAAGACCCGTCCAGATCCGAGCCATTACTCCAGCGCGTCGCCCGGTGCTCGCCGTTTCTGTTCTGCATTTTCCTTCATTTTTTCCGCATTCCAGTTGCCCACCATGTCGGATCCCAACTCGACTGAGGCCGAGAAGAACGTATGTCGCTCTGTTCCCCCCCCCCCCCCTGGCGTGACCATTTTCCCACCGCCAGCCCGCGCCCGCCCCTCTTTGCCCCGCGTTCTCACCAAAAAACTGACCATGTCGCCCTGCGCCCATAGATCGAGATATGGAAGGTCAAGAAGCTCATCAAGAGCCTCGAGGCCGCTCGCGGTAACGGAACGAGCATGATCTCCCTCATTATCCGTACGTCACGAACCCCCTCCAACTACGTCATTTGCGCTCTTGGTCGACCAAATCGCTGACCATGCCCCTTCGCATCGCAGCCCCAAGGATCAAGTCTCCCGTGCTGCCAAGATGTTGGCTGAAGAATACGTATGTGTCCCCGACGCTTCGCGGTCCCTTCCCCCCCCCTCCCCCCAAAGCATTGTTCGGCCACAGCCGCTGACGCTGCACCTCAGGGTACCGCCTCCAACATCAAGTCGCGAGTGAACCGACAGTCTGTCCTCTCCGCCATCACCTCGACCCAACAGCGTCTCAAGCTCTACAACAAGGTGCCGCCCAACGGCCTCGTCGTCTACTGCGGTGAAATCCTCACCCAGGAGGGCAAGGAGCGCAAGGTCAACATTGACTTTGAGCCCTTCAAGCCCATCAACACGTCGCTGTACCTCTGCGACAACAAGTTCCACACCGAGGCCCTGTCCGAGCTCCTCGAATCCGATCAGAAGTTCGGCTTCATCATCATGGACGGCAACGGTGCCCTGTTCGCCACCCTCAGCGGCAACACGCGCGAGATTGTCCACAAGTTCTCCGTCGATCTGCCCAAGAAGCACGGCCGTGGTGGTCAGTCGGCCCTGCGTTTTGCCCGTCTCCGTGACGAGAAGCGCCACAAACTACGTCCGCAAGGTCGCCGAGTTGGCCGTCCAGAACTTCATCACCGCCGACAAGGTCAACGTCGCCGGTCTCATCCTCGCCGGTTCCGCCGATTTCAAGAACGACCTCAACGCCTCCGATCTGTTCGACGGCCGTCTGCAGACCAAGTCATCAAGGTCGTCGACGTGTCGTACGGTGCGAGAACGGCTTCAACCAAGCATCGAGCTGT